GTGGGAGGGACCCCACGCTGGAGCAGAGGAAGAGTGTGAGGAGTCCTCCCCCTGAGGATGAAGGAGCAGCAGAGACAGAGACAACATGTGATGAACTGACTGCAGCCCCCATTCCCTGTCCCCCTGTGCCACTGGTGGGGAGGAAGGAGAGAAATCGGGAGTGAAGTTTTGCCCAGGAAGCAGGGAGGGGTGGGGGGAGGTGTTTTAAGATTTGATTTTATTTCTCATTATTCTACTCTGTTTTGCTCGCTAATAAATTAGATTAATTTTTTCCCAACTTGAGTCTGTTTTGCCCATGACAGTAATTGGTGAGTGATCTCTCCCTGTCCTTATCCCGACCCACGAGCCTTTCATTACATTTTCTCTCCTCTGTTCAGCTGAGGAGGGAGAGCGATAGAGCGGGTTTGGAGGGCACCTGGCTTCCAGCCAGGGTCAACCCACCACAATCTCTATGGCCATTTTTCTGTACTTGTAGCAAAAAGCACACTTTGGGAACCAGAATGTAGCATGCAAAAGTAAATCTGACATTGAGATAACAACTTGTATTTACAATGCTGGCTGCATTTTTTTAATTGCATGTGCATGATGTCATTGAAATAAGACCTGTAAACTATCTTTCTAGTAATGCTCAATATTCTTAAACAGTCAGTGAGTTCTAAGAGCTGAGTGACAGAGTTAGCAAGTACAATTAACATACCAGGTTAGAAGCAATTATTGTACAACCATCACCGGCATATTAGAAATCTACTGAATACCTACCATAGTAAGAAAGATGCCAAATTCTGGGTTCATTTCCACATTATCTCCATCAGTAAAAAGAAAGCTTTTTTTGCGTTCCTTCTTACATGTCAACACAATTGCAATTTGCTGTGCAGCTACTGATAGTACTGGTAAATTGATACGATTGAATTCATCAAAGCAACCCCAGGAGCCAGACTGAGCAAGACCTTCAAAAAGAAAACCAACTAAGCATCTGACCATTATGTTGTTACCCCTTTTTTGGTGCAAGTCATAAGTTAAAAATCAGGTTAATCTACCTCAGGAAAAAAAAAAAAATATTTTCGAGGGTTGGGAAAGGGACAAGGAAAAGAGTTTAATTCTTTTTCAAACAAGAATTCTCAAAGTTCCAACAGTCCTCAAGCTTGTCTAGGATGCTATATCCTTTGATTTCTGCTCCTTCTCTCAGTATCTCAGATGTTTTCCTGTTCCTCCCTATCACCCTAACATAATCCCTGCAATAAATCTATCAAAGTATGATGGGAAGTCAATAGCTTATTGCACAGATGAAAATGAACAATAAAGTTGATTTCACCTGGAAAGAAGTTAAGGGTCAGTCTGTGCCAGAACTGCATTCTTCCTCACATATTTGGGGAAAACAAAACAAAAAATCATCAACACAGTCACTTGCAACAATGCAACAGTCAAGGACTTCCACTTGATCTCTAATTCAACATCTGCCATGACTGACAGGTATCAATTTCGGGTCCCTAAAAAAAAAAGTGATCTGCATCTAACTTAAGTAAGCTGTGTCAATTGTTTTTAACATATATAGCGCTATTCATGCACTTACTTCAACTGATAAGAACTCTGACATTTGAAGGAGAAAAAATACCGAAATGAGAATCCAACACATTCCACCAGTTCAGCAATAAATTTCACAGCTTTTTCTTTTTTGTACTGGCAGTCTTCCTTGATTATTTTAAGTGTCCTTATGTATCCTTTCATAAACTGTCTTATGTCTTCAGACATTTCTGTTTCCTGAGCCAGTGTTGCAAATGTATTTTACATTCATAACAAGATATTAATTACTTGCATTTATTAAAAGTCAGAAAACCACCTGCTGAATATGTGTTGACCTTGTTTTATAAAGATGTTCTCTTAGCATTTGTAACTTTCACAAAGTCCATAGAATCATATAATCACAAAATATCCCGAGCTGTAAAGGATTCATGAGGATCATCAAGTTCAACTCCTGACTCCACACAGGGCTACCTAAAAGTTACATCATATATCTAAGAGTGTTGTCCAAACACTACTTGAACACCGACAAGCTTGGGGCCTTGCCTACTTCCTTGGGGAGCTTGTTCCAGTGCTTGACCACACTCTCAGTGAAGAACATTTTCCTAATATCCAATCTGAACTTAATCTGATGCAGCTTTAAGCCATTCCTTCATGTTCTATCACCAGACACCAGAGAGAAGAGATCAGCACCTCCCTGTCTGTTCCCCCTCATGAGGAAGTTGTAGACAGCACTGAGGGCCCCCCTCAGTCTCCTTTTCTCTAAGATGAGCAAACCTAGTACACTCAGCTGTTCCTCATAAGTCACGCCCTTTAGTTCTTTCACCATCTTTGCTGCTCTCCTTTGGACACATTTTAATATTTTTATATGCTTCTGACATTGACGACCCCCAAACTGCACACAGTACTTGAGGTGAGGCCACTCCAATGCTGAGTATAGCGACACAATCACTTCTTTTGATTGGTTAGTTATACTGCACTTAATACAGTTGACCTTTTGGTCCACATCTTACCTTTGAAGATCCTCCCAAGTCCTCGGAAATCCATCTGGTCTGAGCAGTTGAAGACCACTACATATTTTCCAAGGCACCGTCCCATGTCTTTGATGGTTTCAGTTTTTCCAGTTCCTGCAGGTCCCACAGGTGCTCCACCCATGTTCATGCCTAAAGCTTGAGCCAAAGTGATGTAACATCTAAAAGGCAACAGGCTATAATCACCTAATGGGCTGCAGTGCAGTTTTCTGTACAGTATCAGAGAAACTTACTCAAATGTGTTACATGAGGAAGGTCTGATTTAAGGAGACAAGGGAACTGCTGAAATTACATGCCTCTAATTACAATTTAAAGCAGGAAGAAGGAAAACCCTTCACTCAGCCTCTGATGAAGGTAATATTAAGGTTTGTTTCCTCATACATAAAGTGGAAGAACAGATAAATCTCAACAATCAACAACTTGAAAGATCATGAGAAGAAAAGAAAGTAGATACAGAGATACTGCCTAGTCTAGTTTGGTTAGCTTAGATCCTGAATTACTTTAACTGAAGTAGTTCTGAAGCACATTATACTGTGGAATATAATAATGAAAAACAGCTAACCTTTCTTTTCTCATCCACCTTCAAATATTTGATCATACAGTGCATCCCATTTTCATAAATAAAACTTCTATGTGTAATGCAGTAAAACACCAGTGAACAATTATATCTAAAGAGAAGCTCTGGAATTTACTGTATGGAATAGTTTAAAACAAAAACAAAAACCAACAACAAAAAAAACAACCACCACCACCCAATGCCCTTATTTTGCAAATGATAGCTTATGAAGCATTCTTTGTGTTATTCCAGTTAGGTAGGTAGACCTCTCCATTAATAGGACTGCAATTCTTTCAACATCCTTCTAGATCAAAGATCTCCAGTCTATTGCAGCTGAATAAAATTGTTTTTCCTGTCTATTCTTCCTAAGCTGTTGTCATTAGCTTGCCTGTAAACACCTTTTTTCATCCTGTATCTCCCTCTACATATTGTATCTGTTGGATGTACCTGATCCTCAGATATACTAGCCTCACATACATGAGAATCAGAGTCCCATCCATCATGTATGTGGGGATCACGCAAGTATGTGGCAGAAATTAAGGTGGAAGTTATTCACATTATAAGGCATAGAAACAAAAGTATTCATGTATTCCATGTAAAAATATTGACTTTGATAAGACTGTGAAGGATTAACTGCAGAGATCTATTTTGCACCCAATAGGAATGACTAACTTTCTCTTGTAAAAGCCTGGGTTTGGCCTCAAAGAATAAAGGAATAAAATCAGTCTTTTTCACCTGTCTGTAAGAGGCGTTATAACAAGCCTGTCGGTACAGCCCAAGAATTCATTCTGGTATGTGAAACCCACATCAGTGATCTTAATCATCATTTTATCAGAGTCTTCATTAAAATAATATCTACACTGTTTCAGCCACTCGAAGTCTGTAGGGCTCTTGATATGCATGCGACACTAAGAAAAGAGGGGAAGAAAGGCAGTGGTATTCATGGTTAACATTTACTTTTGCATTTATATTGTCTCATCTAAACAGTACGGCAAAGGCAGCACTGCAATCACAATGAAAAGCATAAAGAACAGCTAGTAACACAAGAATAGCGGAGACCCTATCCTGATTTTTACCACAAAAATTGCTAATGTGTTCTTGCTGTCCCTGAAACCCATACTAAGGCAAGGGAACTTCAAACTTTAGATGAGCGTGTCAAAATTCTAAATGCAAATGAACAGTCCATAAGCCTCAAACAAAAGTCATTAAGTTCAGTTAACATTAAAATTACCATTTCTTTTACTCATCTCTACCATTTTATTTTCACATGAGTAGGAAACATGTAATGTGATACCTGATTTTAAAAAAAGTCAGGAGAATTGTATGAAATCATATGCAAATTGAAAAAAAGTTATTTCAAGACAGTGTCATGGTGCAGATATTAGTTAAGAAATTCAACAGCTGGGAGTAATTTAAAAAGTTGACAATTGAATATTAAAACAGGATTAAAAAATATGTCCTGCAGGTTGTATCTAAAAAATTATATTTTACATGAGATGATTTTAACTAGAAACAACAGGTTCTACAATGAAAAGATAGGTGCCTGCCTATCAGCAATGGGTTAAAAGTCAGTAATTCTTTTCTCAGACAGCTTAATTTCAGTCAGGTCCAGAGCTTCCTATAGGTAAAAGGGCATGCTGGTTTAGAAGTTTAATTGTTTAAGCAGTAAATGCTTTCATTTTCCTAATTTTAGTATTCTGTGGCAGCATGAGAAGGTGTGAAGTGAACAAATAAATCTCTAAGTAATAATTAGGTATGCTATTGAAACTAGAACAGAGGGGATAGTAATTTCAATCAATTTCAAACTTTTCTCCTGTACTATAACTCTACATTCATTCTATTTACTCCTCAAAACTCACAATGTAGTCCAGAGAAAGGACAATTACTTGCAACACAATGTATGAGGAAAAAGAAGTGCCTAAATGATCATGCAACAGAAGAATCTAACTTAAGTCAGCCAACACAAAGCATTATAAAATTCTGCTACTGCTTCTGGGGAAAAAAAAAAAAAAAACAAACCACTGAATTACTTAACGGGAAGCTAAGACATGGACTGAAGCAACATCAGCATTTTTATAATACTCCAGGTTACATAATCATTACAGTCATTAAGTTAAACATTTAATTTCAGAGGCAGGAGTTCATAGATATGGTAGTATTTTCTTCTTGTCCTTTCACATTGCTTTACATGGAAACCACCTCATAACTCATAGTAAATTTTTCAGTACTTACCAGACCATCAAAAATGTCCCTCTGATGCACATGAATAGTGATTAATGTCTCATATTTAACTCGCTCGACTGGGCTAAGGTCTTTTGTTGTCATATCTATCAGCCTGTTTAGAAGATCCAGGAAAAATTGGTTCGTCTTTGGCATAATTTTTTTATCATACCTGGCATTAGTCAAAGCTTCTTCTGAGTCTTTTGTCCAAATCATTTGGATTCCCAACAACCCAACCTTAGGAAACAGAAAAGCGTATGCTTCATAATCTTTTCTCTTTCACTTAAAATGTACATACACAGACGTAGATAAACTAAATAAATGGTTCTGCTACTATTTGTATAAAATTATTTTTTCTTGCATCCATCTAGAGGTAATTCAATCCATGCATTTGTTTTATGTGTTCCAACATCATTGATAAACACATAGTTAAGTCCACACTTCACTCTTGTAGATACTGCCTACGATGCACTGCTGATAAAACTGTTCAATATAATTTACAAAAAATATTATATATAAACTAATATACTTTT